ATACCATCACCACCATCACTATCAACATCACACCATTACCACTACCACTACCACCATCACTACCATACCATTACCACTATCACCTCCACCACCATCACCACCACCATTAACACCACCAGCACCACCTCCACCATCACTGCCACTACCACCATCACCACCAGGACCAACACCATTACCATAATACCAATACCATACCATCACCACCAACACTATCAACATCACACCATTACTACTAAAGCCACACCATAACCATCATCATACCTTACCACCACCACCACCACCACCATCATACCAATACCATCATACTATCATCACCACCATCATACCAACCCTATCATACCATTGCCACCTCCGATAACAGTATCATCACTACCACCACAAACAGCACCACTACCAACGTACCATCACCACCAATCACTGTTATCACCATCACCATCACCACCATTATCACCATCACATTACCATGACATCACCACCATCACAACCATCACCATTATTACCACCACCACCATCCCCACCCCCATCACCACCAGGATCACCAACAATCACACCAAGCTCAGCACCACCACCGTCTTCGTCATCTTGTCATCACACCCCATAAAGGAGGGGTTCACACAGAAGGAAACAGAGGTCAGGGTGGGCCTGGCCAAGATCAAAGAGCTGAGAAGGGGCAGGGCCAGATGTCCTCAAGGACATGACAATTATATATTGAATGCATCGGAGCCGCATCCTCCACCTACAGGCTCTCTGGGTGAGGGTCTCTCTTCTCCTGGACTCCTAAGGGGCAGTAAGGCCCCAGCTCTCCCCGAGCTCCCGGGCAGCACCGCCCGCCGCCACGCACCTTCACCGCGGACGCCAGCTGCCTGTCGCGCTCCTCCAGCTGCTGGCGCTCGCTCTGCAGCTCGCCGCCCCGCCGCAGCAGCTTCTGCTTCTCCTCTTCTTTCACTAGGGAGAGGGCAGCGGCTGCTGGGCCAGGAGCAGAAGCAGGAGGCAGAACCAGGCCCTGCCCTCCCCGCACTGATGCAGGGACCCAGGTGCTCGCTCCAGGGTCCCTCTCCTCAGAGCTCGGACCCTGAACAGTCTGGACCCCAGCCTCTCCAGGTCCCACGTGAACCTAGCACTTGCGTGGGGGAAGGGAGGCAGGCCCCTCCCCCCAGGACCACTCACCTGTCTTGTGGGTGACGTAGGAGTGGACAATGGCCAGCATCCCGGTCCAGGGCACACCCTCGTCTTTCTTTAAGGCCTGGAGGGCAGACGGAGAGATGAGAAGGCRGACCAACCCTGGTTGTGTGGCTCTGGGAATGCCTACTCCCTGACCAGCTTCCCCAGGGTGACCAGGGGACAGTGGCCACACTGGCCTGGTTCAGAGAAGTTGAAAGGAGAAAAGCTGCATGTGGGCCAGGACCTTCTGGGTCTCTCCCCCTGGTCAAGGCCAAGGTCGCTGTTAACACCCCACAATTCACAGGATTAAACCCTGTAACAAGGGTCCCAGGTACCAGCTGTGCCAGGGTTGAGAAGGCCCGACACCCAGGCCCCTCCTCTGCCCTCCCTGCCGCTGCCGACCGCCAACCACCCAGGGCACTGGCGGAAGGTGTGCGCCTGTACCTTCTGCTGGCACCTGGGGCACATCCACATGCCCTTGGGTGCTGTCTTGAGGGGCGGATCCAGGCAGCTGAGGTGGTAGGCCCCCGGGCAGGTGCCGCAGGGCTGCAGGCTGGCCCCTCGCTTGCAGATGGCACAGTGCTCATCCTGGGTGATCTCGCTCTGTAAGAAAAGGAGTGCGGAGGTGGCTCTGGGAGAGGAGGGACAGGCCTCTGCGGGTGACTGTGCAGGGACACTCCTGGACCCAGCAGGAGGCACGGCAGCCGGACAGGCAGGACGCTAGGGCATCCACTGGGCCGGGCTGACCAAGGGCAGGGTGCTCGAGTCAGTGCCACGTGGCCCAGTAGTGGAGTCTTCCAGGTGTGCACAGGGAAGGGTGTCCTGCTGCAGCCGAAGGGACGGTCCCCTATCCTGGGGGGCCTGGGCGGCTGACCTGAAACCCTCTCAGCAGCGTGTCTGTCTAGCCTGGGACACAGACCTGGGGGAGTCACACTCCCGTTCCCACATTTGTGTGGTGGACACTGCTGCCCCGCGCTCCCTGGGGCCTGAGAAGGACAGACACACACGGTGCTCTGCCGTGCCAGCCCCACGGTAAGGAAAGGGCCCTTCAGATGTCCTTCCCACACGGCCTGCCACACTCCGCAGAGACACAGTCCCCTTCCCAGCCGGCTGGCTGCTGCACCAACACTCTGTGGGTGCAGGGGCTTCACAACCAGCTCCCACCACCTGCAAAATCTGACTCCTGCCACCCACAGGACCCCCCGCCCCCCCAGGTCATGCATCAACAGAGCTTCCGACCTTAGGGCTGGGGTCTGGGACAGCCCACACCACCAGGCCCTGGATACCAGAGATGTCCGAGGTTGGGCACCGCAGGTGACCCCTCTGCACCCCTCGTTCAGTGCAAAGGCCCAGGAAGACTGAGACACCTGCCTGGGGCCACACAGTGAACTGGGGGCAGAGCTGGGACCCACATCCGGTGTCCTGCCTCAAAGCCAAGGCCCCTCCAGGACAGGGCTTGTGGGGACTAGGCAGCAGCTTGGGCTTCCTGTCCCCATGTCTGCCTGGGCTGAGCACCAGGTGTCCAGACACACTGCCAGGCCCGCAGGGATCAGTGGGCACTGTGGCGGGGCCCCCATGGAAACCACCACAGCCCCTCAGAACTGGCTGGAACGCTTGTCCAGCACAGCACGCGGGCCAGGGGCTCATCTGGGATGAGGTCTCWGGTTGTGAACAGACTGAACATGTCCTGAGGCTGTGCCTGGGAATGAGTCCCCGGCCAGCCGGCGTCTTGGGAAGCAGGGACATGTTGTATGGGTCAGGGGTGGTCTCAGGACCAGAGGTGTGGGCATGGAAGGTGAGACCCTGGGGATTACAAAGTCCTCGGAAAGACTGCCCAGGGCCACACAGCAAGGCTGGGCAGAGCCAGGGCAGAGGCCAGCTGGCACCCAGACTGGCTCTTCCCGGGGCCTCTGTGGCTCCCAGGGTCCCCGCCCTCTCAGGACTAGGCAGGGAGAGCTCCTGTTTGAGTCTGGCCACCTGGCACTGTGGCCATGCCCGGCTCCGCCTGGCAGGAGGAAAGCAGGCGTGGTGCTGGGCAGGGTCCTGAGCACCGAAGGCAGAGGTGAGGGCCCTGCTCCACTCCAGGGCCACCCCTTCCCAGGAGGACTGCCACCGGGACTGTGTGGGACACACCCACCCCCAGGTGTGATGTGAGGGCACGTACCTTCCAGCAGGGCTCCTCATTGGCTGGCACAGGGAGGAAGGGCGGAGAACAGGTTAGTGGGCACTGGAGGGGCACAGTCAGGACTGGGCTCTCTGAGGCCGAGTGAGGCAGGACTCTTGCCCCAGGGCAGGATGGGAGTATCGCAAGGCCCAGTGATGCCYGAGTCCTCCCCTGGAGCATGGGGAGGAAGGGTCCCTGACACCAGGACCTTCCAGGGGCAGTGAGCTGTTGGGGGGGATCTTCAGTCCTTTATTGACAGGGTAGAGGCCTGCATGACCTCAGCTGCTGCCTGTCCCCATTCTAGTAGGCACTGTCAAGTTGCGGGTGTGTGTGTGTGTTGCTGGGGTTGAACCCAGGGCCTTGTGCACTCTACCCACTGAGCTCTGTCCCCAGCCCCTCAAACTGCATTTTAATGGACATAAAAATGGCTCCTTTTCTGCAAATGTGTCAGCGGAACGATCAGCCTGTGGTGAGGCTCTCAGCTGCTTCCAGTGGCCCGGCTGCGTTCCTGTCCCCACCTCGGAGCAGCAGAGAGTTACGGGCCCATGTTACAAATAAGGTCACCAAGGCCCAGGGAGGTGACCCCGTGTGCTACACACATGTAATCCTGAGAGCAGTGGCCATCTCCCGCCGTCAGGGCCATTGGGTTTTCTGAGAAGAGCGAGGTCCCTGCTGCGGGCATGTTTGTGGTGTGGCTCTCGGGGCTCTTGCTGTGGGCGAGGTGGCAGAGCATGCAAGGGTCTACTGGAAATTGGGACCGAGGCCTCAGGTCAGGTCCCCGCCATCCCAGCCAGGCACCTTGCTGAAGGCTTGGCCCGCCTGTCCTGCAGAGGGAGCCCGCGGCAGAGCCGGGCAGGGGACGAGGCTCCTACCCTACCTGGGCTCTCACTGCCGGCTGCAGGCTGGGGGTGGGGGTGGGAAGGTGAGGGCCGAGAGCCCCTGGCCCAGCCGGGGGTGTCTGAGCGGCTCTCTCCAGGGCTGTCCAGTTTGTCTGCGGCAGACAGTGCCTGAGCTGGCCACTTGGGCACAGGAGCAGTGCTGGCTTGTGCACAGGCCACAGCAGGTGGTGCCAGGTGGGATGGGCCCCTCCCCCTCCCACATCCTCTTCCACGCAGGTCACAGACCCCTGTGGGGGCGGGGCCTGCCAGGGTGGCCTTTGGCATCACAGGCCCCGGTCCTCTGTCCACCCAACGGCAGGGCAGAGACCTGTCTGACCTCAGCTGCTGCCTGTCCCCACTCCTGGGCCTCCTGTGCTGGGAGATGCTGCCCTCCCCGTCCGACAGGATCCACGGCACCTCTGCTGTGCCACCTGCCTGGTGCTCAGGCCAAGGCCACAGAGGAGGACGGCAACTGCCTGGTCCAGCCCCAGGTCCCGCCCTGCCCTGTGCCGGAGCAGCTGAGAGGCCGCAGCCCAGGCTGCCACTCACCTCGCGCTGTGAGGAACAGGGGGTTGTTGAGATAGCTGGAGGCCAGTCGCTTCCTCTGCAGGACAGAACACAAAACCCAACACCCCCTCGTCTGGAGCCCTCCTGGGCCCGCTGCCCCTGCCCAGGGCCCTCCAGGCCCAGCTTTCCACCAGTGGCCCCAGACGCCAGGYGGAACCTGGGCCAGAGGCAGACACAGACCAGGGCTGGGGCTGACGGCAGTCGGTGGACAGGGGGCTTTGCCAAGGCTCTGCCCTGAGGGGCCGTCACCCTCTGCTCCCAAAGTTGGCTCTCCACCTGCCCTCGGGGCACTCCCTCGGCTAGCTCTGGGGTCAGGCAGGGCAACGGGGGCCTCCTTGTGCATAGCCCAAAGCCTCCCTGCTGTGGAGGCTGCTGTGCGTCCAGAAGGGTGGCCCCAGTCCTGGCCTCGGGGTTCTGGCGGGAAGATGGTTCTAGAATTGAGTGACTGGCTCTAAGCTGGTCCCCCCCCCCCCCCCCGTGCCAGGCCGTGTTCCAAGCCAAGGAGGAGCTGTGGGCAGGCTGCCCCGGGGCTACATCCTGGCCCAAGACTAAGGGGCTGCCTGCCTGCTGACTGGCGAAGAGGTGGCACTGGCCGCAGACTTGGGAGTCCAGGCCAAGGCTCTGCACACGGGGCATCAGGTGGTCGTACTGACCAGCAAAGCAAAGGGAAGGGGCCCTGATCACACAGGACTCATGGTCAGTGGCCACTCGGTGGCCTTCTAAAGAAAGGCCGCCATGTCTGGGGACAGGCTTGCCCAGGAGACCCAAGAGGACGTAAGTGGGTTGGAACTGCAGGCTTGGACATGTCCTGGGAACAGGGGCAGAGGGACGGTGGGAGGGTGGCAGGGCCAGAACTGACCACTGCCCCGGAGGAGAGCCCTCCCTGCTGTTCAAGTCCACAAACGCAGATTCAGGACACGTGGCCGAGTGGCCCACTCCCTGGAGGGACGCAATGGCTTCTCTTTACCCTCCCTCTGGACCATGCACAGCTCAAATCTGGCATGTGCCACACACTGGCCTCTGGGGACCTTGCATCTCTCAGGACACTGGCTTGGACTCTGTGGCTGGCCTTTGGAGACAACGTGGAGACTGGAACCTGAGAATCTGGACTTCAATTCAAACGGGAGGAGTCTCATTCTGGACTGGGTTTCTCCCTGGGCATGTGCCAGGCAGGGGCCAGTGGTCTGGGGACCTTTGGCCTTCCAAGCCTCTGCACCACCTCCTCCAGCTGCTGTGGACATTGAGGCCATGCTGAGTTGGGGTGGATTTGGAGGAGGGGGCATTTCTTGCCTGGTGTCAGGGCCATGAGTGGGGTCATGAGTGGGCAGGCACAGGACTGGGCTGGCCTCCTGCATCTTTCCCTCAGGTGACTCTGGACCAGGAGGGGAGGGAGTGGGCCACCCTGGGCCCTCTAGGAGGGACAGATAGGGGCGGTGGGGAAGGTGGCTGCCCGGGTCCCCACCTCGGTCTCCAGGAGGCCGCTGTAGGCGGGGTTGGCCGTGCTCCTCCTCTTCCGCTCCTGCCGCTTGCTCTGGATCTCTGGAGGGACAGAGACACAGTGGCCATGGGTCCTCGGTGCCCACCCAACCCTGGGCAGGCTGGCCCCTTCTCTGCAGCTGCTGTCCACCCAGCACCCACACCCTGCAGTGGTCTACACAGGAACAGGAAGTGCCACAGTGGGTCCCCGCAGCTCTGGAGCTTGGGGACTGAGTGYATCTCTCCTCCGGCTCCTCTTTGGGGACAAAGGCCAGCCTTGGGACAAAGGCCTTCCCTAGAGGGAGGCGCATCCCAAACCCCCTGCTTCCTAGGACACCCGCCCCSCGCTCCGCCTTGTGGCCAGTCCCTGCCTGCTGCCCCTTACCTTCCAGGTGCTCCGTGGTGACCAGGCCCAGGGCTACCATGAAGGCGACCTTCTGTGGGAAGGAAAGGGGTGGACGGGTTAACATGGCCTCCGCTTCCCACCCCGACCCCGAGCTCCTCCTCCACAGCCGCAGTCCGGATGCCAGGAGAGCTCCCAGGAACCTCCAGGGAACGGGACTCCTGAGACCACCAGGTGGGTTTAGAGGGCTCTGTGGGGGCAGCGGCGGGCGCGGACCGCATGGCCAGCTCCGAGCACCCACACCAGGCTCYGCCGTGGCCCGTCCGTCCTGCGTGTTTGTTATCAATACGCCGAACACCCTCAGCCCCAGCGGCACTGGACACTCTAGCCAGCACCTGACCAGCTGGCCGAGCGTCTTCCCCGGGTCCCGTCTCAGCCCTGTGCCCCCTCCAGCAAGTGGCGAACTGTCCCTGCGTGTCCTCCGTCTCCTGCACACGTGCGGACACTCYACTCATCTGCACGCGTCTCAATACGACAGGACTCAGTCTGACCTGCCTAGGGGACTTGAGGGGGCAGCCTGCTGTGCTCCTCTGCGGTGGCGGGCAGCAGCCAAGAGCCCAGCCTGCCGCAGCCTTCCTGTCCTCCTGGTGGTGGGCAGGATGGGTCATGGCAAGGTGGGCAGCCAGTGCCCGAGGCTTTGGTGCAAGCGAGGCCCTTGCAGCTGCCTGGCTGTGGGACCACGCAGTGACCAGCAGCRCCTGACAYACAGCAGGCGCTCAATACATGCCCTGACTGAACGTGCACCTGTCGCGACAGGACGCAGTTATGTTCCAGGGTCCTATTTCCATCCTTTGACTTGACTTTGGGGCTGGCTTATTTGTAAGTTCCAGATTCTTCAGAGGCCCAGGAGGTTGTGAGAGGAATCAGAGAGCCGTCGCCCTCACCTGCCCAGGCCACCCACGGCAGCGGCCTCTGGTTTTGACATGTAATTATTACCAGCGGCCCTGGCTCCCTGACCACCTCTTTTCTTTTTCGCTCAGTGCTGGGGATGGAGCCCGGGCCAGCGCTGGGCCGCTGGGCCACACCCCGTCTGCCCCAACTTCTAGTCARTGTTTGTCTTCTGTCCCAGGATCCCAGAGGACATTGGGTCATCCCCCCTCCCACCTCYAGGCTGGGACAGTTTCTCAGATTTCCTTGTCTTTAGCGACCTGCGTGGTTTTGAGGAGTCATCAGGCATTTTGCAGGAAGTCCCCCTGGGGATTTGTCATGGGGTGATGGGCTCAGGGGACAGCACCAGGGAGAGAGGCTTTGTACRGAGGGCAGCTGCCCTCACAGAGACCCGTGGCTGCTGACCCCACCCTGGCMCCTGCCTGAGGCTCTCCAGGGCACCGTCCTCTCCCTGCAGGCCAGGGGTGGCTCTGCACAGCACCTTGGTCAGGAGTGGGTCTCCTGCACCCGGAGGCTGGGCTTTGGTTTGACATGTTAATTTATAAAAATGTCTGTATTTTCTTCTGCAGTCTTTGCACCCTGGCAGGGACTCTGAGGTCATAAAGCAAGTTTTGTTTTGGATTTTGAGAGCAGAGTTTCTCTGGCCAAGCTGCTGAGGCTGGCCTTGAACCTTCCTCCCCCTYAGCCTCCCAAGTTGCTGGGATCACTGGGCCACACTGTGCCCCACGTAAGGCCACTTGATTGTTTTAGTGCCTACAGTTTGTACCTACAGTGTTGACCCCTTTGGGATACAGACTGGCACAGAGGGCATTATGCATGGGGCCGGTCTTTCCCCAGGTGGCCACCCTCTCCACACCGTCTCCCTGCACGCTGCCTCTCCCCTCTGCTGACTGAATACTGAACTGTCACGTGGGTCCATCTCTGGGCTGACTTCCTCCTAGCCTCCGCCAGGCCTCTAGTCCCTTCTGTGGTCAGGCCTCCTGGCCTCCCCCTCTCTCTAGCCGGTGCGCAATGACCCTCTCACTGTTTCAAGGAAAGTTGAGAAGTGTGGCTGGTGGCSGAGAAGGAGGGGGCGCTGGCGTATGTACCGGGTGACGTTAGGATCATAAATGACCTTGGACACGTTCACATCATCATGTTCCTACCCAAAGCCAGGGTCCCTCTGTCCCTTCTTAAGCTTCAGGGGTTTTGAACTTGGCCTCAGCTAGGTACTGAATATTTTTATTACATTTATTCCTGGGCATTTGATCTTCCTGTTGCTATTATGAAGGGGGCCGTGTTCCCCTGGGGCCCAGGGAGGGACAGGTGCGTGAACCGGCTGCCCCACTGGCATGCAGAGTCCCATCTGTGGGGCTTTCTCTACTTCTCTTGGGTCCTGCCCCATCATCTCAGGACCGTCCCCTCCTCCTGTGCTGTGCCAACAGCTCCCCTCCCGCACTGCCGGCTCCAAGTGGTCC